GTTTCAGAGCCATAGAGAAGGATGGAGCGAACTGCTGAGCAGTACACACGTCCCTTGGTTGATAACCGGATGTCACGCCTACGCCAGAGATGGTGTAAGTCAGCGAAAGCAGCTCGAGCTTTTCGGATCCGTGCTGAGATTTCATCGCCAATCAATCCGTTGGTTGCAGATACGCCTTGCTGACTAGTGAGTGCCAACTAGCACAAAACCTAGGTCCAAGACTTCCTGCTGATTGCCTTCAACTATCTAATATTATCAAATCAATGTGCACCGTGGTGGCGAGCTACCTAGAATAGTCGCCACATTGCAAACATGACTGATAGAATTCAGTCTGAACCAAAGAAAGGACTAGGCGCGTCACACTAGTTACTAGTGTTCAATTAAAATAACACAGTGTTATACAATAATATTAAGTGATGACATTTTGAGCACAAACTGTTTCTCATAATCATATCGAGTTACTCATACAACTTTTTTCCTTCATTTATATGTGTGTGATATTTGTATTGAGTCATTTCTGTTGCATGTGTTGGGTTTAGACTCGATGAACTAGGATTCAGTAATCAATCTCTTTCTCCACCAACATATATTACTTCTTAGAATTTTAACCCTCTCTCACCCTATTGTGTGTGTTAATGCATGCAGTACAATCGCTGAGCTTTTTTCTAAATTATTTTTGATTTGATTTCTTTCAAATTCGTAGGCGATGACGGTGAAAAAATGCAGAATCTTCTGAACACATTGAGCCGCAATCTACGAATGTTTGACATGTGATTCGCTCCCGCCAAATGCAAGATGATGTTACAGGACTGGACCACACTGACTCCTAGTTTAGAAATAGGGAATGAAGTAGTAGAGCACGTTCACTTATTTGGGAAGTACCATCAGTCCCAACGGGTTTATCTCTGACGAAATCTCAGAACGGATACACAGGGCTGGTTTCGCATATGCCAGTTTACCCCGTCTCTTGCGTAGACGTGATATTCGGCTATCGACCAAAGGACATGTGTACTGCTCATCACTCCGCTGCGTCCTCCTTTATGGCCGTGAGACCTGGTCATTGAGAGTGGAGGACATGAAAAGATTAGCTGTCTTTGATCATAAGTGCCTGCCTTCTATCTCCTCTGTGAATTGGCATAATAAGGTGAGCAATATTGAGTTTAGGCGTCGAGTTCTAGGTAAGGAGGGGAAATCAATCGATGAGGCTGTGAAGTTACATCGACTGAGATGGTTTCGACATGTTTTACGTATGCCTAGCCATCGTCTTTCTCGATGAGCAATGTTAGCTGACATAGGGTCAGGCCATGGCACCAGTCAATGAAATCCACAACAGTTAGTCTAAGCCACGTAGGAAGGTGTCTGTCTGTCTGGATTCAACATAGAACTTGGCACCGAAGTGCAGCAGTTCGAGTTGCCACGTTCCAAATAGCCCACAGAGGTAGACAAGAAGATGAGTGAAGAGAATCAATAGAGTTTGACAAATATAAGAGTGAAACAGAATGGGTAATGGTAGAAAGGAATATGAAAGATTACAGAGACTGAATACATCTGCGCTGGTCATTGACAACGATTTTAAGCCATGTCACCTATTGTCTCCAGCCATTGATTCCTAGAGTCAATCCCGAGGGCCCCAACCCGGGAGTCTGCATCTCCCTACCTGACTCAGTTTAACTGTCAAGGATTTCATGGATTGATGCCATGTTTTTGTTTGGCCACCACTGGCTCTTTTCCAACCTGAACCTATATCAGCTAGCAAAGCCCGTCGGGGGAGGCGGTGGTTAGGCATGCGCAGCACGTGACCTAGCCATCTTAGTCTATGTAATTTTATAGCCTCGTCGATTGATTTGCCCTCTTTGCCCAACACTCTACGCCTAACATCAACATTACTTATCTTGTGAAACCACCTAACGTGAGACAGAGATCGCAGACATCTATGATCGAAAGCAGTCAACCTTTTCATGTCTTCAACGCGTATTGGCCATGTTTCAGAGCCATAGAGAAGGATGGAGCGAACTGCTGAGCAGTACACACGTCCCTTGGTTGATAACCGGATGTCACGCCTACGCCAGAGATGGTGTAAGTCAGCGAAAGCAGCTCGAGCTTTTCGGATCCGTGCTGAGATTTCATCGCCAATCAATCCGTTGGTTGCAGATACGCCTTGCTGACTAGTGAGTGCCAACTAGCACAAAACCTAGGTCCAAGACTTCCTGCTGATTGCCTTCAACTATCTAATATTATCAAATCAATGTGCACCGTGGTGGCGAGCTACCTAGAATAGTCGCCACATTGCAAACATGACTGATAGAATTCAGTCTGAACCAAAGAAAGGACTAGGCGCGTCACACTAGTTACTAGTGTTCAATTAAAATAACACAGTGTTATACAATAATATTAAGTGATGACATTTTGAGCACAAACTGTTTCTCATAATCATATCGAGTTACTCATACAACTTTTTTCCTTCATTTATATGTGTGTGATATTTGTATTGAGTCATTTCTGTTGCATGTGTTGGGTTTAGACTCGATGAACTAGGATTCAGTAATCAATCTCTTTCTCCACCAACATATATTACTTCTTAGAATTTTAACCCTCTCTCACCCTATTGTGTGTGTTAATGCATGCAGTACAATCGCTGAGCTTTTTTCTAAATTATTTTTGATTTGATTTCTTTCAAATTCGTAGGCGATGACGGTGAAAAAATGCAGAATCTTCTGAACACATTGAGCCGCAATCTACGAATGTTTGACATGTGATTCGCTCCCGCCAAATGCAAGATGATGTTACAGGACTGGACCACACTGACTCCTAGTTTAGAAATAGGGAATGAAGTAGTAGAGCACGTTCACTTATTTGGGAAGTACCATCAGTCCCAACGGGTTTATCTCTGACGAAATCTCAGAACGGATACACAGGGCTGGTTTCGCATATGCCAGTTTACCCCGTCTCTTGCGTAGACGTGATATTCGGCTATCGACCAAAGGACATGTGTACTGCTCATCACTCCGCTGCGTCCTCCTTTATGGCCGTGAGACCTGGTCATTGAGAGTGGAGGACATGAAAAGATTAGCTGTCTTTGATCATAAGTGCCTGCCTTCTATCTCCTCTGTGAATTGGCATAATAAGGTGAGCAATATTGAGTTTAGGCGTCGAGTTCTAGGTAAGGAGGGGAAATCAATCGATGAGGCTGTGAAGTTACATCGACTGAGATGGTTTCGACATGTTTTACGTATGCCTAGCCATCGTCTTTCTCGATGAGCAATGTTAGCTGACATAGGGTCAGGCCATGGCACCAGTCAATGAAATCCACAACAGTTAGTCTAAGCCACGTAGGAAGGTGTCTGTCTGTCTGGATTCAACATAGAACTTGGCACCGAAGTGCAGCAGTTCGAGTTGCCACGTTCCAAATAGCCCACAGAGGTAGACAAGAAGATGAGTGAAGAGAATCAATAGAGTTTGACAAATATAAGAGTGAAACAGAATGGGTAATGGTAGAAAGGAATATGAAAGATTACAGAGACTGAATACATCTGCGCTGGTCATTGACAACGATTTTAAGCCATGTCACCTATTGTCTCCAGCCATTGATTCCTAGAGTCAATCCCGAGGGCCCCAACCCGGGAGTCTGCATCTCCCTACCTGACTCAGTTTAACTGTCAAGGATTTCATGGATTGATGCCATGTTTTTGTTTGGCCACCACTGGCTCTTTTCCAACCTGAACCTATATCAGCTAGCAAAGCCCGTCGGGGGAGGCGGTGGTTAGGCATGCGCAGCACGTGACCTAGCCATCTTAGTCTATGTAATTTTATAGCCTCGTCGATTGATTTGCCCTCTTTGCCCAACACTCTACGCCTAACATCAACATTACTTATCTTGTGAAACCACCTAACGTGAGACAGAGATCGCAGACATCTATGATCGAAAGCAGTCAACCTTTTCATGTCTTCAACGCGTATTGGCCATGTTTCAGAGCCATAGAGAAGGATGGAGCGAACTGCTGAGCAGTACACACGTCCCTTGGTTGATAACCGGATGTCACGCCTACGCCAGAGATGGTGTAAGTCAGCGAAAGCAGCTCGAGCTTTTCGGATCCGTGCTGAGATTTCATCGCCAATCAGTCCGTTGGTGCTAATACAACTTCCCAAGTAGGTGTAAACTTCGTGGTTGGGGTCCTCAGGACGGTAAAATCCAATGGTTGAATACAATTAATGATATGACTCAAAATCGTTCTCGATGATGACTCAGATGTATCCACTCCCTGTGACTTATGATTTCCAATGAAACTATATTGTTCTTGGTTATTACTATTATTTTTGTCTCATATCCCTGTCTACTATCTCTATCATGCATTTCTTCTCTTGCTTTCTGTGTTACATGGAGTGTGGCGACTTGAATTGCCGCACATCGGTGCAAAGTTCTCTGTCGAAAACAGACATTTGGTGGTTTTGCGATGTGAGTACTCAGTGTACCACTCTGAATTCGTCTTCGATGCTCCTACTTCGTAAGATAATGAATGATGCGAGTGTTCCTCATACATGAAGCACACATGTAACTAATACTCAATCTAATTTTTGCACCTAATGTAGTTGTATTTTAAACATGTAAATGTCTTACTTACTACTTTACTTCGGCTATCTCCTACGGAAGGATGAGCCGGCTTCATGAACGTCTCGAATCATCGCTGCCTAGTGCGGCAATTTGTAAGAGAGTTCATGAAGTTTCATGGGAATTTGGTACGAGTGATGTCCCCAACATCGCTTTCTATTTGCACTTCTCATGAGTACAACCATTTCAATGCATTTGTTAAATGTCGATCATATAAGAGTCTCATGGTATGCTGTTGGAAACATCAATTGTTTCTATGATGAGTGTAACATTACATGAATCACACATTATTATGTGAGTACAAAAACTCTACAGACTAATCAAGGAGATCCGAAAGTGATAAAAAACATATACAGGCGCGAAGATTGACTACTTTTCTTATATCTTCTTTTAGATACACGACCTAGTTGAACAAATCAATCAAATGAAAGTACATCGAGAATTTTACTTAGAATTTAGTCGTGACCCTCAAGCTTTTATATCACGTTGGTTAGCTAGTCAATGTCGTGATTACTGGGTGATGACTGATGCTACACCAGGGCATGCTGAAGTGGAACGTCATTCAGAGTTTTTACAATGCAAACTGGACACAAGAAGCAGTAATGCGTTACTTTTATAATCGAGTAAGTCATTTGTAGAATACATTAAACTGATTAATCTATCTGTAATGTAAAAACAACTTCACCAACACGACTCTTCATATTTAAAAAAAAACAGGTTTTTGTTGAACCTACTATCCAACAACTTCACTGTTTTGGAATAACACAATTCGATCAGCTTTTGAAGAATGAAATGAGTTCATCTTTAATTTATAGGGTTTTTGTGAGCTCTATACAGCCTGAATAAAAATGGTTTATTAATAACCAGCATAACTTAATTCTGGCATACTTTTGAATCAGCTAGTCCTTTGTTGAATGTATTTTAGAACGAAGAAGTACCACTCTCGTTCCCACTAAACTTGGAGTGGAATTACTACCTGTGATTAAGCATATATCAATTTGTGTGATGTCATTATATGCAACGTGTAGTTTGTTGTTTTATTCGGCTCAGCTAAAACAGTTCAGCAGTAAGTCTCAACTCCTCTTCTTCTTCGGATCAGTTTTTCTAAGTGAAAGCTACCAGTAGCCTCCTTATAAATTGAGACGCTTAGTATGTAAAGTGGCTTTTTTTTTCTTCCTTCACGTTCCCCAGTGGAACATAGGGCATCAACCTAGTGGGCTGAAGTTTCTCTAGCAGTGTTTATTTTTTTACAGGATGGGGTTGCTAGCCTCACGCCCAACCTTTCCTCTTTACCAGCATTATTTCTGGCTTGGCGAGCGAGGTAAAGGAGTGGTATTGGCAGATTTTTTATGACTTCTACTCCGTGCTTCCATAGTTTACTGTATGTGGAACATACTTGTAATTTCTATGAGGAAAAATTTTCTTTTTATATAAATGCTAAATTTAACATTTAAAAAAAATTTATTTTGCAGATATCTCAAAGGCGACAGGATTTAGAACATGCACTGGGTCTTAACAATAATTAATGCACAATGACTACAACACGCGCTTTATGCATTTTTCTGATTAAAATAAACAGAAATGTGTTTTTATTGGTTCGATTGTCAATCAGTCTCATATGGTTTGTATATCACTACATTGTAGAAATTTTAATTTATAATACGCTTGTGTGTGTTTAACATTGTCATGTATCACAATATATTTAATTATATTTCAATATATCGTACTTATAACATAATAATAATAATTCAAAGGATCATAATAGATCAAAACATTTCGTTCTAAACATTCAAACAGATCAGCACAATTGTGTTAATGAGGAAAGCAAACTTGGTTAATTAAGTCTTTTATGATATCCACAAAATATGAGAATGTGTAGACACAGACACTGCTAACCTCACGTCAATAGCACTAACAGTGACATCAGTTGTATCGAATTCTTTACTTGTCTCAAACTGTTGTCAGCTAAGATCAGGAAACGTTTGGAGCGCGTCACTCCAGAGCAGTCCAGTCCATGCGTGTCTACCCAAAGTTACCCTAGAATTTCTTTTTTTATGAAAACTTCTTGATTTGAAGTGAACTAAGGTCCGCGTTGGTTTATGCTGGTGATGATAGTACTTCTTCTCAACCAAAAAAGAAATGTAAGCAATTAATATCTTTTCAAAGTCGCATCGTTGCAGATCTAAGTGATGGCATCAAACACCTAATAAAACTACAAATATCATCCGAAGTACCAGTACCTACAGTATCAACACTCGACGACTAAATGACTTTACCTTGTTAAAATTGCGTATAGCTTCAGCATTAATTCGTTTGTAGTTTCACATGAACCAAAGGCATCTGGATTTCTCGGGAGATTTATGTTTACTGTCACACAGACTCGAGGACTTGCTGGTGAAAACCTACAAGGTGGCTGAATAAACTGTTAGAGAAGATATATTCCATGTGAACATAGAGAAGACAGAGGTGATGAAGATAACCAACGAACCGCCACAGCAACAACAACCAGCACAAATCACCATCAACGGGAGAGATTTGACAGAGGTCACTGCCTGCCTTCACTTATCCAGGAAGCCTTGTTTCAACCACAGATGGAACAGATGAAGATGTCAAAGCCAGGCCGAATAGGAAGTGCAAGATACGCCTTCATCAACCTGAAACGAATTTGAAAGTCTCCTGCACTCCCCCTCAGCATACAGAGCAAGATTCGGATTCCGTTCAATACAAATGTGAAGTCAGTTCTTCTGTATGAGTCAGAAACATGGTTAGTGTGTCACGAAAAAGATTCCCAACAGGTTGAAGACTTTTATCAACAGCTGCCTTCGCTAGCTCCATATTGAAGATTAAATGGGCAATCGTGGCCCAAGCTGAAGAGGACAGCTCAGGATAGGACAAAGTGGAGATGTGTAGTTGATTCCCTATGTTCCACTCAGAACTCAAAGGAATAATAATCAAGGCATGTTTAAATATAGGTAGTTTCACTGTAGCCTCCTTTAGGGGATTAAGCCTCAAACGTAAGATAGGAAAGTTGGACTGCTTCTCATTACATTCAGTTTTCTCTAGCTGACGAAATTTTCTTCAAACAATCCAAGTTAATCAATCTTAAATGGACCTTTAAATGTGTGCTGAGGCTACGCCGGTAACTAGTCTTGTGGGTTGACACGTCTTCCTTTATTAGTGGTCATCCTGTTTAACCATTTCACTGTGTAACATTTAACGTATTAAGTTACTGCAAAGAAACAAAGTACATGTGAAGTCGTTTTCAGGAAAGTGTATTTCGTCAGTGTCTTCATTCAAGCTCTTTACCAGATACTAAACCAATTACTGAAGTCTAACAAAGTCACGAAACATAGCTCTTATCTGAAATTACCTGCCAGATCGCTGCTTTAATGTAATACGGTATCCCTTTTTCTGTATAAGCTGACAAAATAATGTTTCCGATGGAATGGTGGGATACCTCCTGTTAATGTTTCGTAGCTGACCAGGTTCTTGTTGAACTGGATTACTCACGAATACTAATCATATTTGTCGTAGCTTCTGAAAGCCAGAATTACTTAGCTTAAGACCTAGTCTTCACCAGTACGTGATAGAAGGTTTTCAGATCTCTTCACTTGTTCGTTTGTCTGCATATGCAATAGACGCAGAAAATACCAAACAGCTATGACTTGTGCTTCATTTCTATGCTGGTCACTACTGTCTCATAGACATTGTAAAATTACTCCTTAAATTTGTTATCGTTTTAGTTGCTGCTGCTGTCGACGTTTTCCTTCCTATCTCACCAAGAGATCTGTATAACTAGACTTCTAGTGGAAGTCTTATGCACGCACTCTTAACCTGAATATTTTTGCCTCATCTAGTAACTGCAAAACGAGATAGATGCTTTGGTATACGATCATCGTTTACTCGTTTTTTCAATGTACACTGGACCTCACGGTGATGTGACTATGTATGGTCTTTCCTATTATGCGAGGAGACTTTAGAGTCGCAAACGACGGCTTATTTATGTTCTCTACACTCCACCTGGTTACTTCGAATGGCTTGCACTCCTTAGTTTGCCTCTGTCTAGCCTTACCAGTGTCTGACTTTTGCTTCTCTTGTGCCTTCCGGATAGCTTGTTTTCATTCACCTGTCCACCTCGTCATATTCTCCCGTATTTGCCACTGTCGTGTTTTGCGGTGTATTATAAACCGTGTTTTCCTTCTGTACAACAGCTGCCACGATTACTCCGTTGTTCCTTGTATTGAGACTCGATGCGCTGGTAATACCAGTGGCAGGTCAGTCTCACAATTGCCTCCATTTGCGTCTAGCCACTATTTATTTGTAAGATTACTTCTTCCCCCTCAAACTAATGATCTGAGGGTAATGTTGCGACATGCCTGTCCTCTTAATATCCATCGTCGCCAGCGTACTCTACATTGTCAAAACATAGGTGGTTACCTGTAACATCTCCATGATCCCCCGAAATATTTTTAATTACTGCTTCAGTTACTACCGTTTAAGTGTGTTGGCGTAATTGCTAAGTTACGCCCGACCCAATAAACCCTATTCAGCATTCGAGGTAAGATTAAGGTTGTGTATATGATGATTTGTGCAGAAGTACTCTTAAGTAATGTTAGTTTTTTGTTTGGTATTTGTTTGATATTTATGGAAGCAGTTGTTTATATGGTGCATCGGTGGCACAGTGGTTAGGACGCTCACATGGTCCGGGGTTCGAACCCCAGCCGACTCACTCCTCTCTTACCTCGCTAAGCCAGAAATAATCCTGGTAAAGAGGAAAGGATGGGCATGAGGCCAGCAACCCCATCATGTAAAAATAAACACGGCTACAGAAACTTCAAGCCACTAGCTTGAAACCCGATGTTATACTGGGAGCGTAAAGGAAAAAAAAGCATTTGAGGTGTTCTAAATTTGAAATAAGCACGCATTTGATGTATGCATTATTTTCAGTCACATATGACGTGTGTAGTGATATATCGGTGACGTAGTGTAGTTTAAGAGTTTTTAATTTGCAGTTAGACGATTAAGTTATATTGTAATCCAATATCTGAACAGCTAACTGTAATTTTGTTCTTGAGTGGATAAACATAATTAGGATTTATTGATTTGAAAAATTTCACTAGGGTGTTGTTTCCTTCTGTTATGTTAGATGGTTCTATAACTTTTCCACAATTACACCATTCCAAATCTTAATCTTTAAAGTTTTATGAGCTCGCATGTACTCATTTCTGAGTTATTTCTCCCATCTGCATTCGCTTTTTCCAGTTCGCCTTGACTATTATCTGGCTCCATTTTCCGCTGCATCAGACTTCATGAATCACAAAAAATTATAATTGGCTTGTAAAATCCATCTCGAATACAGGCAGTGATTTCCTCACGTTATTTCTTTCTATTGCTTTTATCTGTGATTTAGACTAGTGAGTTAGCATTCTAATTTCTGACCTCATTCTTGGCTATTTGTAATTTGCCAACTCCTACGAAATAGTGCTACAATTATTTGATCTATCAGATTGGTCTGAATGTATGTCTAGCTCATAGTTAACGTGTTAGAAAAATAACTTATTTACACTGATTCGCTGATACTCGTAAAGAAAAATTGTCACATAAAAATTATTTTCCACAACATGTAACGACTTCCTTACTAGGATATTTTTCATTCTCTTATAACTATTTTAATTTGAGGCAGTTAAAAGATGATAAAAACCTGTTAGTTAAATTGTTGCCCTAAAAGCGTATTTATTATATTTTTTTTCCTGGTTCACCTCATCAAGGAACCAAATGAAAAAAATTATTTCCAGACTGGATGGTATAATACGACGAAACTATAATGAATAAAATTTCTCGCGTTCTAGCAGTTATAATCGAAGCAAATTCACATCCTCACAGTCCTACCTAACACTGTGTACTTAACCTTAACACTTATAGTTAGAGACGATTCACATCTTCCATTTTCAGCGACAGATTCTCACAAACGTAAATAAGAATGAGGCCAACTGCTTTACAGTATACACACCCATTGATTTACAACCAGAATGTCCACGCCAGTTATGTGAAATGTTGGCTAACACCAGTCCTGTCTGTCGTATCTGAGGTGAGATGTCACCAACAATCGGTGTATTAGAGCCAGGTTAATTCCCAAGCACACGGGCCAACACACCGAACCATCTCACTACCTATCCTCAAGCTAGCAGCTTTGCAGGATTACTTTACATTTGACAGGGACGAATTACATACCAAACACACTAAGATTTCTGCTCAAGATGTTCAGAAGACTCCACTTCGTTAGTGTCATCACCTAGAAGGACTATAGCACCCACATACTGTAAACTGATGGGACTGGAAACAAGTCAATCCCAAAGTCGATTAGTAGAATATCCAATTGTACACTTACGATGAAATAGAACAAAAATGAGAACAATGACTACTCCTAACGGATGCCACTGCATCGTTTGATAACTGTTCGTAAGCCCTTACACAACCATGTGAGTTCGAGTGCAGTGCCTTGATCAGTTTGCCATACTGTCACAGACATTGTCGCAACACCTCGCAGTCAACAGTACCAAATGTCACCCTCAGATCAAGAAATATAGCAAGCGTTGGACGCCGGTAAGTGTGTCTATGTTCCAGAATCTGTCGAGGCGTGAATGCCAAGCATATATGGTATCCATTCTTCTAGCACCTTAACACTATTTTTGTCTACAGCAGAATACTTCCGTCCCGCGACTGTCAAAAATAGCTAGCATACCCCACAACTGTCTCTGTAGATTACTCATGTTATGATCACTTCCGGCTGTGGAAAGTATGAATTGTATCTCAGGCATTGGCAGCCTTAGTTTCCTGTGCTGATCACATAGTTTTCCGATCGGAGCAAATCTTTTTCCGTGTCTCTTCAGTCCAGATACACTTTGTACTACTACTAGAGATTTCGCCATGTTGCCACAGTATCTCAACAAACTGGCTGTAAAATGCTGCTCAGTTTCCTTTTAGAAATCGACATCAGAACCTACTCCGGTAACGGTTCTATTTCCCACATTATGACCCAGGAGGACGACACTTCTTTTAGCTCCATTATGGGTAAATTTTTGTCAGAGCATAAAAATTTAGCTAAGGTAAGAATGGTTGACCCCGAGAAGATAAATAATTTAGAAAAAAGCTCAGCAATTGCAATGCATGCGCTAACACACAACCACACAATAGGGTGGAGAGGGTTAAAATTCTAAAAAGTAATCTAGGTAGGTGGAGAGAGAGGTTGATTACTGAATCCTTGTTCATCGAGTCTACACCCAACACATGCAATAGGAATGACTCGTCACTCATACCTGAAATATGGAAAATACTATTACCAATCAAATCAAGTGAAAATCAAGAGAAAAACAATGGAACTATATAAATGAATTTAGGAAGTCGTGTGATTACCTTGATATGATTATGAGCAAAAAATTGTGCTCGAAACGTCATCAGTAAACATTACTGTATAACACTGTGAGACTTTATCAAAACAAAATTTACCCATAATGGAATTACACCCTACCACAGTGCACAAGTTTTATTCTTATATCAACTTCTTTTAGCTATCTGTAACTTATTCTTATTAATACCTAGTCCTAATCGTTCAGCAAGCTTCAGAACGGCTCTGCATGGTCTATATGTTCGCTTTCTACTTCACTACATACAGTCAAACCATCTCCACGTTCTTCAGATTCCTCAGCAATAAATTTATTCATACAAATGTAAATAAAGTGTACGCCAAACCGAATAACATTCGTTTGAACTAATATGGCTCCTGCCCACCAGTAAAGGCTGTTTCGCGGTGGTTTTTTCTATTATTGTCTGACAATGGGCTGTATGAAGATCAAAAAGTGAACGACTCAGATTGGCAGTACATATAATTCTAGTTAGGCTGTGTGAACTCAAAACAAAATGTGCTTCCCGTTGGGCTGGCTTCTTCGACTATCCCGCCATTCAACGTTTTGTGAATATGTCTGTTTACTTCTTCCTTTAAACGGACTGGCACTCGTCATATTGTAAAAAGTTACTCCACCTCACCCTCCGACACTTCAATGGGATCTCATGTTCTACCTCATCACAATAACCGTAAGATTCCCCATCTGTTATAGATAAGCTGGTATATCCAGTCAAAAACTTGTTGGTATTTTCTTCTAAATGCCTTGTTATATCTGATTTCGCTGTCGCCTATCTATTAGTGTTCTTCCATACACAGCTCCTCATTTTATCAGCCCCACAACCCTCAAACTAGAAGCGAGAAGCAAAGAAGATTATATTATTTCTCCTTTTCGGGCAAATTCCTAGTGAATGCCTTGATCTTCCACAAGCAAAATATTTGTCGGCCTGCTTCACTCCCGCTGACACCTAATTATTTAGCTTTATTATACTTTACTCCATCTTGCAGGCTTGTTGGCATACATTGGTTACTACTGTCAATGTCGAACTTATTTACTGTTTTAAATACTCGTCAGTTCGTCCATGTTCATGCATTCAGAAACTGTAGCTGGTGGATAACAGCATCGGGGGCGCCATCCATAGATTCGGAAGGTTGCAGTTGCGCCTCAGAATCTTTATCTAAGGTTGGTAATGCACGTTTCAGAAGATTTGTCAGCGTTAATACCGAAACCTGTGAATCTGCATCTGCAGTAAGCCATGGATTCCTAAATTTTTGCAACTCCTCCTGTTCATCTAGCTCTCAGTCAGCCATCCGACATCCTTCTCCCACGATATTTATGCTGCATTTACACACAAAATTTCGTAAGTAGCCTTCATTCCATCTCTTATCAAGTTACTCGGACAACTGGTTTCGCTTTCTGCTCATGCACATTGTAGCGGTAAATAATTCCCCAAAATTATTGACCACAGAATAGATTATGCCTGACAGAAGGATTACATCGTGACCATAAGAATCATCAGTGGACATTGGATGCTGACCCTTAGGGTTTAAGTCGACTTGTTTAGCTGAAGGCTTCCGGTCAAGCATCCTCGCCATTTGGTACTCCGTCGCTTACACAACTTGATATGATTATGAGCAGTAGTTCATGCTCGAAACGTCATCAGTTAATATTACACTGTATAATTAGTCAAAATAAAATCTTATCTATAATGGAGTTATACTCCTTCCAACCTATGAACGGGATGAGTTTATTAATAATGAGAAATACGAGGATTGGATTTTTAGTAAACCTCTCTACCATATTGGCAGTTATTAATTAATGCTAGTAAGTATTACAAGTAATGTATTTATGTGTACAAAACAATATGATGATAACACAGATCGTTCGATATTCATAATATTAATGGCTGATTAGTCCTTCTTCCATAATATTTTCTTCCTTTGACGCAACATATGTGTATACATGGTTTTAGAACCTGCAAAATAAGCACTAGAATTGCCACAACTTACCTGGAACGTAGATTATGAGTGCAACTACTAAAACGACCAAATAACTGAATGAACAATTTAAGGCGTTTGGAAGATTAACTGAGTATTTCCCAGTTTCTTTCAGACTTTTTATCCCACCTAATACCAATAGAATTTCACCCTGGAAAAGAAATTTGAAGTGGATTTTTAATGACTTACGGAAATCCCAGTTGGATATAAAACCATAAATGCTGAGTACCTGTTGAAGTAAATGTATCGTGAATTTTTCTAACCTTATCCATGTTAAAAGACGAAACTTTGCACCGCAAATATCTGCCATATAGTATGCATACCGCACCATTTCAGCAATGGACCATGATATAATTATTAATGGTACGCCAAAATTCTCTCGCGTTACCTAAGTTATTACATTTGGTAATGTAGTAATTTACCTCTGGTAAGAGGTAGACGATACCCCAGACAATAAACAATCGAGAAGATATCTGTATCAGAGTTGTGATGACAGAAGATCTAACCAATCCTATAGACGCATGGATAACCTACAATATTCTCCATATTTTATTGAAATAACCAACCTCAACGATAGCTAGTGACTGAAAAAGACGAAGCAGGACATCTACTTGGGCACTAGGATTAAGCCAGTTACTCCTAAAGATTGACTCAGAAATGTATAACGACAGTATGTATGCCCATCTAAAAGTTTTCTGTATATCTTTATAACTGTCACTCAAACCCCATCAGCTGAACTCCGTTGTATGTTGCAAGATAGCTCTCCTTGAAAGTCATTTGTGCCCACGAATTGTTGCCCTAAAATCGAAAAGTGGGATTACAGCACCAAGGGATAATATTCAAAGTAATTTGATAAAATAAGCAAGCGATTATACACAAATGAATCAAGTATATTTTCAAGAGGTCACAGAGAAATCTATGATTCTGAAGTGCCCGACCACTGACATTCGACTGACTAGCATACAGAGCAGCACATGTGCTGCCTCATTTTCCTAAACCACTTTAAATAGGAAGGATGTTGCTGGCATACTGCATATACTATGAATTCGCCTAACGCATTTTATATCATATTTAAGAATAAGTAAGGATTCCTGGTTTTGATGTTTGTATGCACTCTGAACCTAGTATTTCATTGACAGGTAAGGACACCATTACACTATAAACGTGAAATTATTAACCAAGAATGTCTTTTATTGTAAGTACCCTACTTGATATTTCAAAAGCTCAGGAATTACTACGCGTACAGAGCTTTATACATAGGCCAGATTGTAGATATTTAAAAGTGTAAGGTTAAAATTTGTGAGAACATTAATCGCCATGTAATTACACACACAACTATTCGTGATTAAAAAGCCTATGAGAGTTCAGAGTATTTTCAAGAAATTCTAAGAAAAAACCTAAAAACAACAATCAATGCACAGGATTCCTAGGGAATGAAAATGCATTTCTTAAAAAACCACGTACTCATAGTATCCTTGTTTTATAATTGCTTACAATAAGCCCAAAATTTCCGATGTAAGTGGCTACAACCAATATACAAATGTTCAAAACTGAAGTGAGGCTATGTTTTCTTGAATAATGATCGACGAGTTGTTTTATAAACTTTGGGTCAATCGATGATTAATCTGAAATATGTCTTAAAAGCAATCGATAACTTTGGTTAAACAATGCAATATATCTAAGAGCAGATATTGTTCTTACAACATTATTATCGCTGATCCCTTGGGTTCCGAGTGGAATATAAGGACTCATCAAGGAAGGGAGGAAGTAACCTCTGTCAAATCTCTCCCCGTTGATGGTGGTTGTTACTACTGTTGCGGTTCGTTGGTTATCTTCATCACTTCCTTCTTCTATATGTTCACCTGGAGTCCTGTCCTCCCCAACTGCTTATTCAGCCACTTTGTAGGTTTTCACCCGCAAGCCTTCGACTATGTGTGACATTCAACATAAATCACTCGAGAAATCCAGATCGTCTAGAGTCTTCTCATCGATGGCCCGGAGTATTCCCGTACCCTTACTCCCCTCGTACAGTCTGACACATAATCCAGTCCATCACAAATAACAATTTCATTGGTGATAACAGGCAATCAGCTTGACTTACTCCTGTCTGCACTTCAAACGCCTCACCGAGCTTCCTGTTGTGGATCACCTGACAGGTGGCGTTCTCATACAGCCAGCTATTGAATGAGGCTGATAAAGATTTGGGATACTGCAAGCCATTGTGTTGGAATAGTTTCCAAACTACTTTTCGGTCAACGCTGTCTGTCAAAAGCCTTTTCGGAATCAATGGCATTGTGTTAGAGGCTTGCAGGCTGGGGAGTTCGGCACCAAATGCATCTTTCATTCTCTCCAGGATGATACCGCCTAGTATTTTACTTGGTGTGAAGAATAGCATGATTCCACGCCAGATCTTGCAGGGGGCTTACTAGGTTGTCCTTCTTTGGTACCTTGACATTGTAACCAGGTTTTATTCCAATCAGTAGGTACCTTTCCTTATTTCCAAACATTTTGTAATAATGGAGTGAGCGCATCCACCGAAGTCTCTGGGTCCATTTTTAGTGCTTCGAGGGCAGGGGAAATTCCTTCTGCTCCTGCTGCCTTCCTGACTGGACTTAAGTAGTCTGATCACATTCAGGATTTCTGCTTTCTTTGGAGGATCGGTCACGTGGTGCGCATGCCTAACCACCGCCTCCCCCGACGGGCATTGTTAGCTGATATAGGTTCAGGTTGGAAAAGAGCCAGTGGTGGCCAAACAAAAACATGGCATCAATCCATGAAATCCTTGACAGTTAAACTGAGTCAGGTAGGGAGATGCAGACTCCCGGGTTGGGGTCCTCGGGACTCTAGGAATCAATGGCTGGAGACAATAGGTGACATGGCTCAAAATCGTTGTCAATGGCGCAGATGTATTCAATCTCTGTAATCTTTCATATTCCTTTCTACCATTACCCATTCTGTTTCACTCTTATATTTGTCAAACTCTATTAATTCTCTTCACTCATCTTCTTGTCTACCTCTGTGTGCTATTTGGAACGTGGCAACTCGAACTGCTGCACTTCGGTGCCAAGTTCTATGTTGAATCCAGACAGACAGACAGGAGGATCGGTGTCCACTGGCTGGGAGTTCTGTGAGTGCTTTCAGTGGTGGTATTTCTGGTCGAGTTTCAATTGAAGATGGTCGACTCAAGAACCCTTTAAAGTTATCAGCCCATTGTTTGATTTGTTTCTCCTCCTTGGTAATCAGGTTCTCTTCGGTATCTTTTATTCGTTTCACCATCTGTGTTGATCTATTCCCGGATAGAGACCTAGCTATCTCATATGATGTCCTGAGGTCTCTTTTACCTGTGGTCTGCCTGTTCTGCTTCAGTTGCCAGCCAGTGTGTCATGGAATTGTCTTTTGTCTCTTCTAGCACTCTTCTTCACTTCTATATTCAGTGCAGTGTACAGTGAACTCAACTCCTCCTTCTGTTGTCCACCTCTGCATCGCGTCATCTTCTCTCTCACCATCCTCCTATCCTCTCTTCTATTAGCTTCCAGGTGTCCGTTGAGAACCATTCCTTGTCGTGTCTCTTCCTTCCCCCTAGAACAGTTGTACACGTTTCCAATGTTCTTCCACGCGTGTTTCTTCGGTGACGCCACGTAGTGTCTCCGACTTCGTTCTGACCTGACCTGTAGTGAAGGCATCACTTGTAGTTTTGTCCTTCACTTTCTGAATGTTGAACTTGAATTACAGTGACCTGTGTCCAGTTCTTCTGAAGGATTTCAGCTTCAACTTAAGTGTTCCTTGGACTAGATGATGGTCTGAGTGAGCCCACATCTGTTCCGCTTTCTCGACTTTGTACCCACCAGACTAGTTGTGTCTCCTCTTCGTAGAACACTATTGAGATGAAGTCTATCTGATTTGTGGTTTGTCCACCAGGTGAAATCCATGTTTCTTTGTGTGTATTCTTATGCTTGTAACCGTTGTCTCTGATCACCAAATCATTGAAAGAACAGAAGTCTGCGAATAATTCCCCATCCTCATTCAATTCTCCGAGCGAGAGCTTCTCGAACCACAATTAGTTCTTTTCCCGTATTGTCTGCTCCAATTTCGGCTGGCGTTGATATCGCCCATGAGGATTTTTTGTCATCATTTGGGATAATGTCCGCTATTGTTTGTAATCGTGCGTGTCTGTGAAAGTCTTCTTTAGTTTCTTGTTCCGGGTAGCTTGTAGCATTTTGTGTAGCACTGGATAACTGTAGCCGTCTTCCGTCCTTTTGAGTTGAATCTTTCTGTCATAATCCTGCAGGATGAAATTGTTTTTTACTGCATTAGGGTTCTGGCTGCCACTGGTGACATCATAATAGCCACTCACACCTTCAGTGTGCTCGTGGTTGTCGTTTGGGTGACCGGAGTGGATTACTGACTCTCTAATTGACAATTTTGATAATCCATAAGTAAAAACACAGTTTTTTTTTCAGCGAAGAAATTTCTTTTCAACGACTTCATTTTCAAGCTGTACAGTCGTATTTATATTACAGAAAAAGGTTATTAAGTGGCACTAAATAATTGCTCAGTCAATGTACGTATATGTGATAAAAGTTATAAGGGGTAGAGTTGAAGTGGATAAATTACCAAAAAAATTAAAGATTGTATTATAACAAAAATGGCACTAAATAATTGATCAGTCAATGTACGTATATATGTGATAAAAGTTATAAGGGGTAGAGTTGAAGTGGATAAATTACAACCATGAAAGATTATTCTATAACAAAAATGTCAAGTGTTGTCTAAAAAATTATGAAAATTAGGAGTACGATTACGATAAGAATGAAGATGTGAAGTGAAGTGGAAAGAATTCAAGTGGTAAAATAAAATAAAAACTAGAAAGAAAATTATTATGACCAAGGTAAAGAAAGGGGTTTGACAAAACGCTTTTGAACACATAATATAGGTTTCTGTTCATGTATCGCTAAAGCTTCAGCTATGCATAAGTGCAGAAAACGTAAACTTTTGGATCGATTGGATTTTGCCATGTATATAACTTTGAAGGATGAATCACGTGGGGCTAAATGACCAGACTCTAACAGGTGATCACAGATAGACGACTTTGCAGTTCTACGTTCGCCTTTCATTAACCAAACCGGATAGTGTTCAGCTACACGCAGCTACAGTACCAAAGAAAAAGCTGTTTATGAGTCTTGCATTCAAAGGTGACACCATTTCAGAATTGATTAAAAACCGTTTATCTAAATGTATTAAACGTACTTTTCCTGCAGCTGACCTGCATCTAGTTTTTACCAGCCGAAATATGATCAGACAAAACGTCAAGGATAGATTACCGCTTTTGTCCACATCTATGTGCATTTACTCTTTTACTTGCTCTTGTGGAGCTGTTTATATTGGACGTTGTAAGCGTAATCTCCGAAAACGTGTAGCTGAACACTATCCGGTTTGGTTAATGAAAGGCGAACGTAGAACTGCAAAGTCGTCTATCTGTGATCACCTGTTAGAGTCTGGTCATTTAGCCCCACGTGATTCATCCTTCAAAGTTATATACATGGCAAAATCCAATCGATCCAAAAGTTTACGTTTTCTGCACTTATGCATAGCTGAAGCTTTAGCGATACATGAACAGAAACCTATATTATGTGTTCAAAAGCGTTTTGTCAAACCCCTTTCTTTACCTTGGTCATAATAATTTTCTTTCTAGTTTTTATTTTATTTTACCACTTGAATTCTTTCCACTTCACTTCACATCTTCATTCTTATCGTAATCGTACTCCTAATTTTCATAATTTTTTAGACAACACTTGACATTTTTGTTATAGAATAATCTTTCATGGTTGTAATTTATCCACTTCAACTCTACCCCTTATAACTTTTATCACATATATACGTACATTGACTGATCAATTATTTAGTGCCATTTTTGTTATAATACAATCTTTAATTTTTTTTGGTAATTTATCCACTTCAACTCTACCCCTTATAACTTTTATCACATATACGTACATTGACTGAGCAATTATTTAGTGCCACTTAATAACCTTTTTCTGTAATATAAATACGACTGTACAGCTTGAAAATGAAGTCGTTGAAAAGAAATTTCTTCGCTGAAAAAAAACTGTGTTTTTACTTATGAATAAATGGGTATTTTTCGGAATTTTGATAATCCACAACCAATCCATCTGCTTACGCGAGTAACCAGCACTTCTATACCATATCTTCGAATTTGCTTGGCCATCCTGTGCTGTCTTCATATACTTGTAAATTGTACGGATATTCTACGTCGGGAAGCTGACTGGCTTTCAGAAGGCTTTCACCAGCGGACGGCGTCATTTTGCCTCTTCGATTCCAGCGAAGTTTATTTTAGTTCTCCACAATTTTTGTATTTTCAACACATTTCTTGTGCGCTGAAGTTTCTCTAACAGTTTGATTGATTTTCTGGGTTAGGATTGTTAGAACCACAGCCAGCCCTTGCTCTTTTCACTGGGCTTGGTACCGCCTAGAAAACTAACGAGCTTGTAAACAAGGCAAGGCTTTAGTTCATCTAATACCTTGCAATGACTGTGGGGTCAAATACATAGGTCACACTAACCGAGCATAAAAACCTAGCACAATATAGATTGGTTGACCCGAATAAGATAAGAAATATAGAGAATAGTTCAGCCATAGCACTAAATGCAATTACACACAACCATACATTAGGATGGGATGGGATGACAGTTTTAAAATTTAATATAGCTGGAAAGAGGCAGATTGATAACGGAAGCTTTGTTTATCGAATCAACTGCAAATACATGTAACAGAAATGATTCTAAACCTGTCCCAGATATCTGGAAAGCTCATCCACCCCTACGACAAAAGGAGAAGACAAATAAAACTATCAAACCCAAGTTTCGAAGTCTTGTAATTATAGTTGATATAATTATGAACAGTAAATTTTGATCGAAACATCATCCAGTAAATAATACTGTTTCAATGTGATACATTTAACCGACAAACTGATATGAACTAGCCTACCTCATCATGTCTATGTCTTGTACTTTGAGCTGTAAAAAAACAACTAAAATTCGTTACAATTTGTAATCATATAATTTGGCTTTTTTTCAACGAAACACTACGTATTTCAGCCATTTGTTAACTGGCGGTAAATTACGGCCGGACCCAAGCTCACAATTTCAAAGTCATTTTAACCTATTTTTCGATAAAGCCTTTTACGGCTAATAAAGATTTTATCTACCTACTATGCTCTGAAATGATGCTGATAGTGCTTAAAAAGAGAGCTGGGTGCTAAATTAGGTCTTTCCGTTCCGAAGTAACGCTAAGCCGTGCTTAATATGTCCAGTGATGGTTGAAGCAACGCTAATAAGCAGACCAAGTAGGTTTTGATATACTCCTGAAAATGCCTAGCAAAAAAAACACGTATTGAATTAGTGTCAGTTATGCTGAAAAACATCACTGAGTTCTAGTCTGTGCTATAAGAGAATCCATTTTAGAACATATTCAAAATTTACTCACTATAGAATGTTAGAATTATTCCGAAATTAGTGAGATTTATTTCGGCATTATAGAAAGCTTAGGGATTAGGACATCATTTGCTGTTTGTGCCAAAAACGTCTTATATCATCAATTTATAGCCGGGAAATGAGCACAAAAGTGTGTAAAACAACGAATAATTACCTAATTTTGAGGTTTTTCAGTAAATAAAGCCTGTAGACACCAGCTGATCAAAGTACCTACGGCTGCCAACGTATTGTAGAAACCTAATCATATTTTCCGCCGTCAAAATACAGACAATCAATTTGTCCAACCTAATCTTCAAATGCAAACTAAAATGTTTAATGGAAGAGCTGTAGCTATTTTGAAGAATTCCGTGCTTTTAAATGTCATCGGAAGCAATAAACGGTTATCCTCGCAAATATGTGACGATATCTTCGCCAACTGAATGTACTTCTTTGGTCAACAAGGAATACTCCTCCATATAATTACTTCCATTGGCAGCCTGTCGATGACTGCATGTCACTTGATCAGCTGATGCCTACACATGGTGTATCGGAGAAGTTCATATTTTAATGAATACTTATTGTGTTGCATACTTTTTTGATGGTACGCTTGCTAGAAGCCTAGATAATGCAGTGATATTAGCCTACATAACTTGAGCAAGGTGGAAAACCTGTATTTTTGTATCTCACCACGTCTAAGCAAGAGTGGACAAGAGTACTCACAAACCCAGAAAGAGGCTCCAGCATTTGTGTGGGTAGGAAGACGCCTGCACAAGTATCTCTTTGATAACAAGTTTCGCATATTTACAGATAATCAGGCTTTGAAATTCATTTAAAATCCAGAAAAATCTTTGAGTAAATCATCTGCTGCTATGGTTCAAAGATGAAGTTTAGAACTAAGTACATATAATTACACCATTAAACACATATCGGCTAAGGGTATACCTCATACACATTTCTTATATTGCTGTTCATTATTTGAAAATTCTGACAATGACGTTGATTGTTAGTCCAGCCGTTACCTTTTGACACAGTTCGACTTATAAATGATACGCGGAAATATTACGGATGCATTATAAACGCGAAAAAGGTTAATTTCCGAACTTTTATATGAGAAGAGGTGAGATTTAAATCCACCCTAAGGGATTCCTGTGTCTGAAAGGTAGAATTATTATTCCTCCGACAACAAGATCTGAAATTCTGGTCTTCATTCTGCTTATCTGAGAGCTGATAAGATGGAATCGTTATCATGCCCAACATGCTGGTGGCCGAAAATTGATCCTGATGTTTGCAAAAGATCAAAGAGCTGTTCCAGTTGTTTGCATGAAAGGTCCTATGGGGGTCATTATGGGGATTATGGCTTGCGTCTTGCGAGGTTTGACAGTGCATTCATGCGGATTAACGTGGCCCATTCTTAAAGTCATACTATGCTTTAATTATGGTGCATTCTTATTCCAGGTGGCCGGAAGTTATCATTACAGATAGTCCTAATGCAAAATTCACTCACAGAACGTTGAGAAAGAGTTTTAGTCGAGAAGGAATTCCAGATGTCTTAGTTACTGATAATGGTACTCATTTTACGAAGAAGAACTTCAGTGATTGGCTTGAAAACATAGGTTGTCGTCATTTGTACACAGCACCACGTCATCCTCAGTCAAACTGCTTGGCAGAAAATTTTGTACGAACATTAGCATCAATGAGTCCTAAGGATTTTGCTGAGCTAGAGAGATGTGTAGATAACTTTATACTTCAATATCGCAATACGCAGCATACAGGAACTCATGGAAGTCCTGTTAAACTATTCAAATCTCTAATTCTCTGAAAACATCTGATGTCCACGACTTCTGATGTACATTAGTACAGAGGGAATGACTTTAGACCTTCTGTTGGAATTATACTACAAAAAATGGGAAATCGAATGGTGAAGATATTAGACACCGAAGATCATTCAGTTCATGACAGACACCTGGATCAAGTGAAAATAAATGAAGTAGGTCGTTCCAATTATAATTTTATTGATTCCGCTACTAATCCTGGTTTTGTAGATAATTGAGCGATAAGCCTGGATGATACTGATGAAAATAATATCACAGAATCAGTTAGGAGGTCGCAGCTACTTGCAAGCTAACCGAGATCTCATCATAAAGACGCAAGGACACATTTGATATGTAGGGGGTGTGCTGACTGAAAATTTCCATATGCCCACTTTTTATATATCCACCGTTGTTCGGTAATATTTTTCTATATGAATAACAAATAATTCTGTAAAATACGAATTCTTAAAAAATCCCTATTTGCGTTGTTGTTGATTTCCTGTAATTTGATCATTGCGAAATAGTACCATCACAAATAATTATAACAGGTCGAAAAAGCCAAATGAAGCTCTGACTGGGATGAATACTTCGCCAATAATAACTTAGAGGTAACATTTAATATTTTTTACCAGATAATCGGTTAGGTAAGAAACACAATCACTCCCTAAAATCTGCCCTAGAGACACTGGTTGCTGATTTATCAACACCTATTTGCATTTTTGAATGGATACTCACTGCTGTTGTGAGCCTCTTGCAGGTGATATTGCTGAAAACATTGTTGTCTGTAAGCTAACTAACGTTTTACAGGCCGGTTTTATACTTTTGTGGATAGCCCACCAGGTCGACTACATGGAATGCAACGCCAGAATTGAAAGTACTGATTGCAAGCTAATTACAATAGTTTATAATTTCACATAAACGAGTGATTACAAGAAAGGTAAGACATTTTTACAGGAACGATCAGTTGTGTTATAAATTACAACCGTGAAGTATTATAAATCAATACTATTTCATTGGTATAAAAATATATTCCACAATTGTCACCAAGGATGCGTCGTTGAAGAAATTATTGGGTAATTCGCGAGGCAGCTGTAGGATATAGGACCAGAAATGTTTGCAGATCATTTGTCATTGTAGGTGGTCAAATATATACACTCTTCATTTAAAAATTCATATAGCAGCTAAACTGGCGAGAGAACAAAGAAGACAAACGACAGCATCACTGAAGAAGACAAATGGAATCCTTGAGGGGTAATTTATAAATTTATATATATACATTTTTATGCATGTTTTGTGTAGTGACTATAGTTATGTTGGTTCGCTAACTAACCAGTCCTTTTATTCTAACTTTTATATTATGTGTGAACTAATATTAATGGCCTGTGTAGAAATATTTACAATGTCCTTCCAGTAATGTTAACGTTTATAACTGTAGTTTGTTGCAACCTATATGTTTAATTAACTTAAAATATCTACGTACGGTGAAGAAGAGGGTGTAGGAGCCAGACGCAGGGGTGCATTGTCATCTTTGAGCAGTCTGATGACTGAAGACCTGAACACTGGAAGTGTTTACATCACGCACATTAGCTGGCAGTCTATTCCAAATGACTGTAAACTTAATGAATAAGAAATTGTGCCGGATGTAATTCTGGCAATTGTCTATAGCTACTAGTCAACAGAAGATCAGTTATTCCATATTAGTTTGTTTTTTAGGTGCATCACACAGCGAAACAGTATTATTTACTGGATGACGTTACGAACAAAATCCATTGTTCATACTCACATCAATTGTAATCACACGACTTTGAAATTTGAGTTTTATAGTTTTCTTTGTCTTCTCCTATTTGTCGTATGAGTAGTAGAATTTCCGTGATATCTGGGACAGGTGTTGAATCATTCCTATTACACGTATTTGCAGTTGATTCGATAAACCAAGGGGGAGATTGATAACGGAAGCTTCGTTTACCGAATCAACTGCAATACATGTAATAGGAATGATTCAACACCTGCCCCAGATATCAGGGAAATTCTACTCCTCATACGACAAATAGGAGGAGACATAGAAAACTATAAAACTCAAATTTCAAAGTCGTTTGATTACAATTGATATGATTATGAACAGTATATTTCATTCGAAACGTCATCCAGTAAATAATATTGTTTCACTGTGTGATACATCTAATAAACAAACTAATATGGAATTACTTACCGCCACAATTCCCAAGTTTTACGCTTGTATTAAGATGATCAGTTGGTTTGTAGTAGAAAACAAGGTTTAGTTTAAGATCTCTTTACGAGAAAGATTCTACTGTCAGTCTGCAGCAACGTTCAGAGTAGTTGAGACTACATCATAAACCACGAGTACTTGAGGTAAATTGCCGTTGCTTTCGCTCTAATTTTAGCTTGTCATTCTGTCGTAGTCCACATAGAACAAACGGGCAATAATATAAAATAGGTCGGACATATACTTTCTGTAATAAAACCCTAGTTTCACAACGGGAGATTCCATCATACTGACGTCACTCGTGTACATGATGTGAGAATAAACATTATTATTATTATTATCTCCGAGTGAGTAGCAGCTTGGGAATGGTAGCGCTGAAGAAAGTAACCCTTCATTATTCACCTGTTATTTTCTCTGTCTGCAAAACATTCCGTGAAAAACCCCATCTCAGTTTCACCTCCAAGCATGAATTGTTTCAGGTAGTCTCTGTCAATATACTGTGAGTGTTCATGGCACATTTCATGATTCAAGTTGTCAAAGTTGATCAAAATTTAACTGATGCTTGCCATCTTCGGCAAGCTGCATCTGTTTCTACTGAGTTCTCACTGCCCAGCAGAAATGAAAACTCAGTCTTCAAGTCGCCGTTTCCGAATTCTTTATATTATTTCATCTGAATTTGGAACAACGGTAGTCAAAAGAAAAAAATTAAAGTGAATACATGAATAGCATTTTGTCTAGCTCCCACCACGCACATACTGATAGAAAATTTATACAAATCTGCTTCGAATAAAGCGACACGTTATTCCTGAAAATGTTCCAATTGTTTTGAGATTAGATTCAATATATTACTGGCTTTAATTTTTAAAGTATATCCATATGGTCTTCGCTGGAGATTGGTTGCCTGAAATAGTCAAATGTAGAAAAGGACTGAAGCCCCCTCTTACAAATTTATTACGAATTTAGTCAGATAGGTTACTCTAATACTTTTTATCTGAGGGTTTTGTTTTCTAAGCCCTAAAATAATGACTATTTGTAGACTACCATTCAACTCTAAATGTGAGTAAGGGTCCTTAGTCATTACAGAAATAGTCAGTCTTCAAAGAAAATTAATTTACACCGATTTAAACTGTTAATATTTGCAAAGACATTTGGTCTCTGATTTGTTTCATCTAAATAACCAAACAACCTACTGCCTTACATACCAATTTATCATCTGCCAGAGAGCCCAATTTGATGCCTCATAATCATTTTAAGGTCAATAATACAGCCAAATTTGAACCTGCCCTCATATCGTCTTCAACAAAACAAAAGTACATTTTAATCACGTGGTAAACCTTGAGGTATATTTCAGGACAATATATATGAGTTAAAACATAAAAGTATGAAAATTTTAAGGTGAGGTTGAGTTCACCATCCAGCAAAGTGATCGATACCCTCACTTATTTTAATCAATCACTTAACTGCATACTATCAACAAAATAGTTTTGGTTGATTTAATAAGATTTTCATGGCTGTTAAAAATTTTCACCTTGCTTTTGATTTGATGCCCAAAGACTAACACAATATTTTCGTATTGAGGGATCCATTATATAGTTGACCTCTAGCCGTTTTTAGTCTAAGATTAATGACATTACGCCCACATAAGGAGACTACCCAAAAATTGAGTGGACGTATTGTAAACAAACAATCAAAACAGCATTGTTGTGTTACCTCTCGTAAAATTACGCGTGGTACAAAATCTTCAGGTGATTCGAAATATCACAGTCCGTGCGCTTTCGTTTTGGAACAGATGTATAATGGTGACGAAAATCAAAATAAACCCTTCCGTACTTGAGAAGAATTGTCGATTACTAGACATCATTTTTAGATTGAAGAACTACACATCTGATTTTCTATACTATTATTTAACCTTACTTGCCTTCCCAAAAAGCCTGAAAGCACGCATTTTGAAACGCAGATCAACCGAAAACGACTGCTTTTAAACTTTTACCGCACTAAACTAGACATAAAAGTCATGTTTAACAGCTAAAAATGCAGCAACAACAATATTTATTACCAAAAATACAGGGTAGGTATATTGTTTACGCATTCACGGAAATTCAAACTACAAATAATTAATCAATACATGATTGACTGTATGATAAGAAGATCGTTCAAAATAAATCGGCGGAAAACTGCCAAACTGGTTAGTCACATTAGTGCATGCATTAATCATTACTTCATGGATATCAAAGATTTGTTGTCAGTATCAACAAAATATTTATAAGCACATCTTTGGATATGAGTTAAAAAGGAGCACATTACGCATGTGTACTTTAGTAGCTGTCCTAGTTTAGCTACTACATTTGGTAAGCAGAGCTAGATCTCAATGTATGCTGATGCAATCAGGGACAACGGAATAAATAAAACAAGGTGCTTTTCGTTGATTAAAATATTTTACTTCAAGTACAAACTCATAGGCCTGTAGTTATTCGGCTTTTCAAAACTTCCAAAGCATAAATAACAAGCCTTAGGCAGACAGACACACATTCGTTTTGAGTAATTTTAAACCGAAATTTGTTAAACCAAATGAACTCGAAAATACTCCGACAGCTCACATAATACCTCATTAAAACTTACAAAATATTCGGAGTTACATGAATTGTCGACCACAAAAGTTGATGGAAATTTAGAGTCACGTGTTATCATATACGTATTCAAAAATCAGCTAATTTCCACACGACTTGAACTGTAAAACTCAGTCAGTGATCTGACTTTATTTCTTGAGGGAAGTTGACTTGTGCCTTCATAGAGCGAACGTCAGGGTGAAAATTATAGCAGAGCAAGATCATTAGGATGTTTTTAAAATGGTTTGAAAAATCTCATTGAAAATTAGAGAATGTGGAAAACTCATGGATAAAGGAGAGGTGATCTTCATGGCAGTCGTATAAAAATGGAGTTGGTTTAGCCGGAGGAAAAGAAGAAATTGACAAGTAAATCCTAAACTAGAGTCAAGGATGAGGTAATTTTCAGGCTAATTAGGTTAAATAATCAAGGAAACGATAAGAAAAATTATATTGCCAACGCAAATACTATGGAAATCACCTGGTGAAGATAACATTACTTATATGATAAATTAATGTCTCAGAATAGCAGCGAAAATGCGACAACCTCATAACGTGGATCATATTCACAGCAAATAATAGTCTGCAGAGGTAACTTTTTGAATACAATACTGATTTTTCAAATCAGACAGTTTTGTAGCCGGTTGGTCTCATTTGTTGAAAAAATTTCATTCATCCTAATGGGGGTTCTGACTCGCACTGCCATCTTATTCACTCATCTCATATACGAGCAAATACGTTTTCTAAGCAGGCTACCAGACATAACGCAGAAATAAAACAGGATGTTTTCACTAGTTCAGGTGTAAATACTCATCCGCGTCCTTTCACCCATTTAATCTGACGAAGACCGGTTAGTAACGTTCTCCGCGAAATATCCCCATGCACACATTCATTAACACCTACATAGTGTGCTGATGAAACACTACAATAAATCAAACAAAGCAGTAAAGGATTCAAGGGCATCACGTCATTTCCAGACCGATGCAGATAAGTTTTCAAAGCCAGAGATAATCATGATCGTAAAAGTTCGAAATCTTACACATTACCCCTATTACAGAAGTTCTCTTTTTTCAACCTTCAGAAACGTTTAATGTTGATTTACGACTCATCACTGACTTACTAATAGCCAGCTTTGTACTTGTTTATTTTACCATATTAGTAAAACTTTTGTTAAGAAGGTGCTGTGAATTTGTGTACTTCCACAGGTTTCGATAAAAAGGATTACAAAATTTACTTGAGTTAAGTAAAAATGCTTGGGCTACAAACCGACTGTACTTGGATCCTTATATCTTGAGTATAAGAAGTGGACAAAAATAATATCATGAATCGAAGAATAAAGTTGCGGGCCATATCAAATAGTACAGGACGTACTGACCGGAAGCTTCCGCCTCAAATAATAGGCAACTTGTGTAACACAGTTACAACAAAGGCACTACTTAGTATCAGCTCATCATTGTAAATGAAGAAAGGTATAAACAAAATAACTAGTAGATATGATAAAAAAAGTTTGTGCATTTAAGATACCTGGTATAGTATTTCGTCAGTTTCGGTACGAATTGTTTGGTTTGGACATATTCATATCTTCTCCACCGTTTGACCACTTAAAAAAGTCGTCCTCGTGCAACTCATCGGGTCCTCTTGGGTTAAAGGACCACTGTTTGGGAATATCAAGGTACCTGATGTGATTTGTCAGTTCACTATGATTTAATGATTTCGACTGTAACCTCCTATGCAGTTCTTGTCTTTTTCTGAACCACAGATTATCCAAGGTGTGTATATTGGCAATATGTACGGGTGCTAATTGGACAGGACTTTTAGTCAACTTCTGTATATAAGGCGAAGAACAGGATACGATGGTGCTGGAATCTGATTTAGGTCGCGATCTGATAATCTGTGGGATAATGAGGTCTAAATCTTTTTCTCTTATTATGTTTATCCTTGACTTGTGTGAGCTATCGAAACCAATTGGTGTTGATTCGTACGAATTCGTCATCTTCAAACTCAGCGGGATTGGTGGTAAGTTGAGGAGGTCCATACATGCAGTGGGAGACTTAGCCTGTCTGTTTTTTTGGATGCAGATATGTCCATCTCTGTCGAAAACTAACCTGTGCTGAGCGGTGCTAGGAAACCGGCCATTATGCTTTGAGTTGCAGCAGGTTGAATAATTCGGAGAAGTGGGAATATTGACTGTGTTTTTAGGCAGAACTGCTTTGAACTTGACTCTCTTTGATGGTACAGGCAAGCTTCTATTCACTTGTTCTTTTTTTGTTTCTCTTATTATTCTTCCTCTGTTAATGCGTGCAATGCTATTAAGATAGGACTGTTTCTCCCTTGGACACAAATCCAAAGTTGGAAATAAGTGTTGTTGAGACCTCTTTTTAAACGACTTGTTAGATTGTGACTGTTTTTCAGCAGCATTATGTGTTTCTGCGTCTGCCATGAATTTTTTGCATTTGTAATAACCACAGTGTGAAGTGATGCGAACAAACAAACCTAGATATTACCAATTTGAACAAAATGAAACTTATATTTATTTTCAGTTATTAATTGAAATAGTTATAAATAATTTGCATATTTATTATTATTTAGTAAACATAAATAGTTATAGTTACTTTTCTACTATATGACCATTCATGCTTTGTTTTAATCCTCCAAATCCAACACTAATACCACATTTTCGCGTAGTAAACTTGTTTCCGCGTTATGTCTGAAGACCAGTAAGTGGTTGCTTTATAATCTAAACTTCACAGAATCAAGGTAGCTGTTCGCCTGAGACCGTTTAATAAACGCGAAATAGATCGTAATGCGGAGTTAGTAGTCTCTATGAATGGCTGCTCAACTACAATCAAAAATCCTGAAAGTAAGGCTTGGTATCCAGTACATAGAAATACATATGCAACTCATCATTGAATTTAAATTTTTTTATGAATTAACAGTTTATTTTACGTTAAAATCATTCTTAATCAGTTGAAAGTTTGGAAGCTTTCAATGGACTGCATCTGCAGTTGAAATACTGTCCATCTCAGTTTTTGAGACTTATATGTATTCATATATGTAATCTGCAACTAATATTGTTCTCTGAGCTAGTTGGTTTAGTTGCGGAGCTTTCGTCGTCTTTCTGGACGACATCTTCGGCGCAGAACTTAGGATAAAGTGTGTCCAGGATTACTGTTGTTCTTCCTTTATCAGCCTGTAGAATAACTATATCTCTTTTATTCTTTGGTTTCTTCAATGCATTTCGCTTTTTAGTGCTAAGTTGGGAATTATGTCTTTTCCATTTGAGTATAGGTATGATATATTTACGTATTTCTCGGTGTACTTCCCTATTTAATATTGATAACTTGAATGATGATTCTAATGAAGCACAAAAATCCATTACTGAAGCGTCACCAGTATTCTGGTTGAGTCCTTTCTGAAGAAAGTGTTCTTTGGCTTTCGATAATGGTTACTTCGATAGGTTTACTACGCAATCATTTAGAGTTTCTTCAGATGGCTGTTTGGATATCTTAGCTAGTTTTCCTTTGAGGACAGCTCGTCTTCGCTCTTTGTGCCATTCACTTATCAATCTAATGGCAGTATTCAATGATGACAGATGTTCTGAAGTAAGAGTGTGTTCAAGCTTCTTTTTCTGAAATCTAATCATATGCTGGTATTTTTTAATCCTGTTGTGTGCATCCGTGATCATTAATTTCACCATTTGTTTTCCATGTTGTTTGGCTAACTTCCAGCCTAAAGGGCATTTGATTGGTGCAAAATGCATTGAAGAAACCAAAGAATAAAAGAGATATAGTTATTCTACAGGCTGATAAAGGAAGAACAACAGTAATCCTGGACACACTTTATCCTAAGTTCTGCGCCGAAGATGTCGTCCAGAAAGACGACGAAAGCTCCGCAACTAAACCAACCAGCTCAGAGAACACTATTAATTGCGAATCATCCACCTGAGTTACACATCTTTTCTATATATGTAATCTGTACTATATATATGAAGAATTGAGAACTATTTATTTCTCACAAGAAGAGAAGAAGTATATTCGTACATTAATTTTTTGGATAATATGGAAAACAAGAATAAAAAGGAAGCCAGATATCATCTAAGTCTGTCTCTCTTTTGCTTAGTCCACTTATGCTTCAGATTTCTATATTTGTGAGCAACGCCTTTGAATGTTGAGGAATTGACAGCTAGTACAAGTATTATGTGAAACGTTTAGTGTTTATCCCTTCAGCTAATAGCTATCAGATAGGGCCGTGGTATTTCGAATTGTAAATACATATTTGCATGCGCCATTTACAACACTTGATTAACCTTCAAATGGTTTTTATTCCTACTTCCTCACAGCTAAACAGCTGAAAGGTTTACTAGGATAGAAGAACTCTGCAGTGGTGTTCACCACTTTTATGCTCATATTTCCAAGTTAATCTAGAGAAGCTTCCGTTCACCTTAATCTCAGAAAGGAGAAGCAAGTTTGTTAGTGGGTTAAACTAAGGCAAAAATCCTTATCCAAACTTTATGTCTGTGACGCGCAACTAAATTTAACCGGACAAAGTGAATTTATGAATGTTTTGATATATCTATATTCCCGTTTTCTTTACTCAGATGTATACAGAGAAGAAAGTAATTAGATTAACGTTCAGTTGAAAAAAATTAGGCTGACTCTGTCGTTTGCTGTACATTCCCAAGAGGCTGATTAAAATATACCAATTATAGACCATCAATCTGTGAAAATTTTTATCATTGCACAAGAGAGAAAACCATAAGTTCAGCAGATGTCCCCTTGGCAGTTTTATTGTCCGCAGCTATACAGTCGCGAATTCAGCGCATCTTCTCTCGGTCACTTAGCACATTCATGGCTGTTATTGTATAATTACTTATAAAGAAAAAAAATTAAACAAGAGCTGAAAGGTGGGATATACGTTAAAGGTAAACCATAAGGAGCAAATAAAAGCGAAATTTTACAGTTAGAAGGATGTGTGTGGGCAGGATTTATAGGGATTTTTGTTGGAAAATAATATGTAACACATTGTTTAGTTGGACCAGTCTGTAACGAATTTCAAAAATACCTTTCTCTTCTATTTTCTACATTTCTTTTAGATCAGAAAGATGTTAAACAGTTTACATTCGACCATTCCTACTGGTAACTTAAAAATCCTTTTTATTTGCTGGTCAAATTGTTTTTTATCTAACTAGGATAGAGACATAACCATAAAATTTTTGGGTCTATTCTGCTTGACTTATGTATTTCATTCCAGCCGTATATAAAATGTTGTGTCAATGACAGTTGATCGACACTGAAAATAATGGTTCGCTAAGTATGCTGCACATTAAAAATACTTCCAGTGATATCATTGGTCCTACCGAAATTAGCAAAGGCATGCTAGCCAGAAAGTACTCTGTTGAGAATAACTTTACTTACCTGTTATAGAGTGCTGTGGAGTAGTAAGCGGTAGGTCATTCCTAACTAATGTAGCACTTGGGAGGTTTCGTCATGAAATTATGGTGAACTTTAATATAGCAGATCAATAACTACTATACAACAGCTGAAAACCAACAAGCATAATGTAGTTTTTCCATCTTAGTCTAAAAAATATTTCTATACAGTAGTGTCAGGGGCTATTAAAATTTATAAGAAGAATGGAATTACCTTGTTTTTTATTCAACTGATGTGAAGTCTGATAACAACAGTGCATTCTGTGTCTTTTGTCATGAAACATAAAAACGTTTCTATAAATTGACAGAAGTCTAGAATGGCATTAGTAAGATGAACTATGGTTTGGTGAAATTTGGGAATATTGTTCAGTATAATCCCCTGCTAAATTTTTATGAAAGACTCTAAATGGAAAACATTTAGATGAGTGCCATCATTTAAACAGTCTTTTAAGTTCTGATATTTTTGGCGTAGCAGATGATTCTAACAACACTAGCACATACATACATCTTGATATGTTCGCATAACTGCCACCATGATGATTTGTAGCATATGTGTTTTCTAATGTCGTAGCTGAAAACCAAATTTTTTGTGACTAAAAATGCCTCCCTGTTGTTAGGTCACATGACGGTTTCAAAACTGAGTCAAATGGTGTACTAGTACCTAGCGGAAAAGATTCAATATACGTTGGTCAGCAGCACGTATTCAATGATTTAGGTCGCGGATTACTAGAAAATGCATTCAATGGATATTCATGTTCGTTATTCGCTTATGGACAGACTGGTTCTGGAAAGTCATACTCAATGATTGGCTATGGATCGAACAGGTATATTTTGTATCAAACAAATTAATGGGTTCATTGTTAGAGGTATTGTGCCAATTATATGTGAAGAGTTATTCAAAAGAATCAGCAAAAACACAGATCCAAATAAGGTAAATATTATAAATTAGGTGTTTTCTGCAGTTCACATTGTGTGAATTAAACCCAGAGACAAGCTATATTTTATTTGAAGGCCCACGTAAGTGTATTCATCACGTATTTTCTATATTAGCGGTTAGTTCGGTCATACATATGTAGGCTTAGACAGAATGAAATCCTTATCATTCCCAGAAGTTATAAGACTACTACGTCACACGTGAATTAGTTTAAAGCAAACATTTAAATAGTCACTATTTATTAACTTATTTGGTCTAGAATATATATATATATATAAGTGTACAGGCTCAAGACAACTCTTACTACCAAGTGGAGTGCTTATCAATTGGCTCCCCTCTAGGCCCACTCTTAGCCGATAGCTTCACGGAAAAATCAGAGAATCTTCCACTCGAAAACGTAATCAATGAACTCTTTTCCTACTGTAGATATATTGACGATACTTTTATCTTGCATAATAATAACATTAATGCCACGATCCTACCCTAAACGTTCAGTTGGACTCAACTAAAACTGAGTTCATACAGGAAAAGATAACAAGAACTCAAGATGGCAGAATCAAGAGGGGTATTTTCCGAATGAAGTACCTGGTTAGCCAACATATCCATTTAGTTCGTCTGTTCCTCCTGCATTTAAACGAATTCTTACCAGTACCTTGATGTATCGTGCTAGAAAAATCTGCACAACCGACAATCTAGACGTTGAAATTAGGAAAATGGAAAATGTTTTTATACGAGAACGGATACCCTGAAAATTTGCTTAAGTCTCGATCAGAAGAATCAACAGAAGGAAATGCCTGGAAACTGTGCAGAAGAAACGCATATACATGGCTTAATCGCTTAAAGGAGACGCATCAACTGGATTGCTGGCATAGAAAAATAATAGCTAAAACATTCTTTGCAGCAACATTGTGTTTAAAATTCTTCAATCATTGTATAATTCCAACTCAGGTGAAGGATAAACTACTGAGTCTCGCCACTTCAATGTGCATTTATAGATTTAACTGTTTATGCGGAGACAGTTACATATGTAGAACGACTCAGCAGGCCGACAGTCGCTTTCTAAAGCATCGTCCAATGT